TTCACGCAGCAGAGCGGCAGTCCACATCAGCACCTCCTGTCTAGGAACAGGAACTGCCAGAGCCAGCCGGCCCCGGATCTAAGGCACTGTGACATGCACTCTGTGCGCTTCAAGCTGTGGAAGACACGGGGCTGGGTTAGGCGCCTCCCTGTGCGTCCGAGACGGTTCTTGCGAAGGAGGTCCAGGGGCAGGGGGCCGGGGCTTGTCGAGTCTCTTGCCTGCGCGCTTGGGGCAGTTTGTGACAGTTCGGGTATTTGCCTCGTCTGGCCGTGCGATCTGCCAGCATACTTCTACAATAGCGCACCAGTGCTAAACTGCATACAGAACATTCGGGCATGGTTTCCGAAATCTTGCTGCAGATACAAGCCTTGTGATCTTTGGCAGGTACCGCGAGCCCCTGCACAGCCGGAGACTGATGCGCCCTGGCTTGTAGGCTGCAGTCTTGAACTAGGGTCCAGCAGGCACTTTTTCAGCCAAATATGTTCCTGTGCAAAATATGGCCCGATCAATGCACCTACTGCACTGTCACCTGCGAGTGTTGCCTCGCGGATTGCTTACCTGGCTTGTGTTGCTCAGAGTGAACTCTCATTTTCACCCGCGGCCCATCATCTCGCATTCGCAGTCCAGGGACAAGTCAGGGAGCGGTGCGCCTGTTGGGTGCGAGCCTTGCAGAAGCACCTGCGCCAGACGTGCTTCAACGAGTGCACCTTGATGGTCTGGACACTCCTCTTTACTGTTCACCTCGCAGTCAGGAGAATGCCACTCCAGGCTGCTTGGACTTTTGTGGGCAGCCTGTTCACGTCAAGCCTTTGCCTGAAGCGATGGAGGCGCGCAAGCCAGGTTCCTGCTGCGTCAAGCTGTCAATCTGCACAAATTGACACTGCACTGCCACCTACCACCAAAAATGTGAGCCAGGTCGGTCCCAAGTCCGGCCCAGACACCAGAGCTGGAAATGTGGCGCTGTTGAAACTGTGTTTGTTTTGCGTCATCTTGTTCCTGCACATTCCTGGTGTCTGTAGTGCGAGGGTTGCTGATGGGCCCACGCCATCAGCCGGAGCGGATCTCTCTGATCAGCAACAAGCCGCTTCCGCGAAGCAAGGTGGGGTACTCAAAGCACCACGATGGCCCGTCAAGAGGGCACTACAACGGGCTCGCTCCAGAGCCGCCAAACACGGCATCACTTGGTATCGAGGCCAATGGCTCAGCAGCCACGAACTGGACGCAGGCAGGCCTTGCCTGCGGCCCAGACCGCCGCGCACTCCTCAGCCACCCCGCCCTGCCTCACACCGACCCTTCATGTTACCCAGGTGGCCTGACAAGCAGTCTTCCGCTGGGAACGATGCCCAGCCTCAGGCATCCCATGGCAAGAAGTTCTTGCGAGTCTTCTCACTTAATATAGGCGGTTTTAGCGTTGCTGTCTACGATGAGTTGTGCTTGTGGCTGGAATCACCAGCGGTTCGCAGCCAGCTTGACATTGTGCTCATCCAGGAGACCTGGCGAGAGGGTACCGAATATTCACTGCCGCACTGGCACTGGATCTCCTCCGGATCCAAACCTCTCATTGGCCAGGGAGTCGCGACCTTGGTCTCGACTAGACTCTGCCAGGCTGACTTGCTCCGCTTTCATGAAGTTCGAAAGGGTCGTGTGCTACATGTCAGGGTTCCCCTTGTGGTAGACGCCCAACATCGCTTTGTTGACATAATCAATGTGTACCAGCATGCCAGGGTTGACGAATCCCAAAAGACATATGAAAAACGACAGTCCATCTGGAACGGACTTGACCAAATCCTCTCGAGCCTTCCCAGTAGAAACTACCTCTGTGTGGGAGGTGACTTCAACACGGATCTCACTCATGAACTCCCCCATGTCGGCACCACTCTTCCGCGTCGGACTGCGTCCTCTCAAGCACGCGACCAGCTGAAATTCCAGGGCATTGTCTCCCGCTACGGGTTATGTGCAGTAAACACTTGGAGTGCTGCCCCCACCTTTCGGGATGCAGTCGGAAACGCATCCAGGATTGACTTCCTTCTTGTTCGTTTACAGCAAGCTGCGAGTAGACGGGTTGCGCTGCAGCCTCAGGTCGAATTGGCGTCCTGGCGGCAAGGCGGGCGTCACACGCCGCTGTGCATGGAATTAGACATCAACTTGTGGCGTCGAGTAAAGGTGCATGTGGCCAAGGCCACATTTGACAAATCTGCCCTTCAGGAGGCCGCTGCCGGTCAGCTTGTGCAGGTTGACTCTCTGAGACGTGAGTTTCTGGCGCGTGTGGGTCAGGAGACTGTCAATCCGGTCCAGCTGGACAGGGCCATTCTGGAGGCATGTGAGGCTGCCTTTCCCCCATCCCAACCGGCGCCGGCCAGACCCCGTCCCTGGCAACAAACCGAGACTCTTGTCACACTCCGCCAGGTCTGGGAATTGCGAGCGCAGTGCCGCTCCATCCGGAGAAGCCCCGAAACACTCCGCACATACCTGCAGGCTTGGAAGCTAAGTGTCAAGTACAAAGCCATGGTAAGAGTTATGCATAAACAATGTAGACTAAGAAGGCGTCACCTGTGGCTGTCGCAACTGCAGGATGCCAGCGACGCACTGGCGCGTCATGACTCCTACAAGTTCTTTCAGATGGTGCGACTTCTGGCGCCCAAGCAGGCCAAAACCAGAGTGCAGCTACGGGATCAAGAGGGACGGATTCTCACACCTAAGCAGGAGGCTCGCGCCTTTGCGGAATATTGGAGTAGCATCTACTCCACACGCACGCTTGAATTCTCAGAGACGCCTGGAGCCTGCGGCGCTGCATTGTGATAAGCCCCAAGGCCCTCTTTCATGCCCTAAACAGCATGCCGACGAGGAAAGCGGTCATGCCTGGCACTGCGCCCTCTGCGGCATACAAAGCTCTTGCCCCGGAAGTGTCGTCCATACTGTCAAACTTCCTGTGTGACCTGTGGAGGCCAGGCGCTTTGCGCATCCCCCAGCTGTGGTCTACGTCCTATCTCTGCTTCTTGCCAAAGCCCGGGAAGTTGGCCAAGCAGCCGGACTGCTACAGGCCCATAGCTCTGATGTCTGCTAGCGGCAAAGCCGTGCTGAAGTGCATACGCGTGCAATTGCAAGCTCCCTTCTCGGCTGCTATGGCAGTGACTCCTCAATATGCATTTACTCCGGGCCGTAGCGCCAGTGAAGCCATAGCTAGAGCTGCCTCACACTGCTATCGAGTGCGTGCAATGTGCGACAGTCAGAAGCAAACCATCCACGACAAGCATGCAGGTGCGGATCGTTTCCCTTGCTGTGGAGGCGCGCAGCTGGCTGTAGACTTAAGCAAGGCATTCGACAGTCTGCCCAGGTTCATCCTTGAACAGGTCTTGATCCACGCAGGGGTGCAGGCCGACCTTAGGGAGCTAATTCTCCTGTGGCATGAGCAGGGAATCTACAAAATCGAGGCTAGAGGTGATCCGCACCAGGAGACCATCGGCACAGGGCAGGGGGTCAGACAGGGTTGCGTGCTCAGTCCAGCTCTATGGGCACTCTTCACAGCCTACTTCATACCAAGGCTAGAAGCCAAGACCCGCCCAGGCTGGCCACAGCAGGCTCTCACTCTCTACGCAGATGACCACCTTTTCCGGTGGACCTTCACCACCGCTGCCCAGCTGCGCGAGCTCAAGCACGATATCCAGGCAATTTTTGAGACTCTGCGTGAGCTGGGAATGCAACCGAACCCAGCTAAGAGCTCATTGATTCTCAGGATTGCTGGCAAGGAGGCCGCCAACTGGAAACGCAAAGCTATCAGTGTGACGAAGAATGGCGCCAGGGTGTTGAGGTACGGCGGCCAGCTTGCTGACGTCATACCCATCGTGCCTAGGTACACCTACCTAGGTGTAGTTCTATCCTTTGAACATTTCGAGCTTGACACCATGCGCCATAGACTGTCGCAGGCAAGTGCTCACCACGGTCGGCTCCGGCGAATGATACATGCTTACAAAAGCCTCACCGCCAAGCAGCGCTTCGAGCTCTGGCGGACATGCATCCAGTCGGCACAGCTCTATGGCTTGGAGGCTGTAGGAGTGAATGCGTCGGGGCTCAGGCTCCTTCACATTCAAACCATAAAACACCTGCGAGGCATCTTCCGCACTCCCAGGCATCTTGCGCTGCCCTCGGACACCAGCTTCATGGAGCATTTTCACATCACTGATCCTCAGGAGGTCCTGCGAGGGCGCTGTCAAGCCTTCGGCCAAAGGCTTCGCGCTCAGCATGACATACCGTGCTACGGGGTGCAGGAAATCAGAGAATGGGCGGACCAGGTCCTGGACCGTGTTCCAGCCCCCTATCAGTCGGCCACCAGGGCTGCGCCCTCGGTGGACATGCCATACAAGTGCACTCATTGTGATCTCTGCTTTCAGGATCTGCGTGTACTCAAGTCACATGAAGGTAAGGCTCATAAGGTGCATGCGCAGGTACTGTCCGTTGATAAGGGGATGCATGGGGTTAATGGGTTACCTGTTTGCAGGCACTGCGAGGTCAAATTTGCGACATGGCACTGCCTAAAACGCCACATTCCAAGCAAAGCTGTCAGGGGCTTAGGCCGCCGACGCATGCCCATACCGTGCTTGCCACGCGCCCTCCCTCCCCCCCTGCGGCGCCTGAGCCCCAGTCCCAACCACTGCTGCAGGACCTGCCGTACATACAGCGCGCTGCCACCAGGGCTTTAATTGTGAATGGTAGCTGGGATGACATAAGTAGGGACCGGACGATGTGCACCGAGCTACTGCAAAGATGTGCGCTCTGCCACCAGTGGATTGCTGCGACCAATGGTCTCAAGAAGCACATCCATAACAGTCACATTGACACTCATGTGCATCATTCCACGTGCGTTGCTCGCATGAAGCTGGAGCTCAAAGCTGCTGTCAGCCCTTGCAGACTCTGTCACACCCGTGTCGTGGACGCCAGGCAGCATGCTGTGCAGTGCAACACTCGCTACCAGATACATATGATGCATCTGCTGTTGACAGGTCATGACGGCAGGAGCGGCGGAGCAGGCGGTGGCAGTGTTTGCACACTTGCTGCCTTCCATGTCGCTGCAGACGGGCCAGGGCGCGGGGTCGGGGGACAAGGGTCAAATGCAGGACTCTCGGCAAAAGAGGCCCCGCACAGGGCCGAGCCCGACTCAGCAAGGCAAGAACAAGGGCAAGCCCAAGGGGAGAGGCAAACAGCGAACAGCCGCCGACCAGGACCAGGACATGGACGACTCTCTCGACCTGTCTCAGCGGGAACTCCTACGCTTGATCGCTACTTTGGTGCTGCAACAGCACGACCAAGCGCTGCGCACGCAGCTGGACACGGGCTTTCTGCTTACCCTCAAGAACGATCTGGGCCCCGAGTGCATGCTGCCCGTCATGCAGAAGGTCGCCAAAGCTTGGGTTCAAATGAAGGAGGAGGAGCCAACCAAACTGGACATGCCGCTGCGCACAACGCTCTTGATATGCATGTTTCAGGAGCTGAAGAGTCGAGCCGAGCTCTTGCAGGCCGATGCCGAGGCTATCGAGAAGGCGACGCAAGCAGGCTGGCTGAACAGCTCGCGGGAGTGGATATGCCAAAAGTGGGATGTGGACACGGAAACCATGGTGGAAGACAAGACCCGACCCTGTGTGACGATGGAAGCCTTCCTCGGACAAGTGGTCAAGCTGCAGGGTCTGGTGGCGGAGGTAGCCAATGTGCCCAGGTTCCAGGCGACGAGGCCTCTGGCCAAGGGCAACATTACGGGCCACAGTCTGGCATTCCTCTTGGATGTGTCACTACGAACGCAAGCGGATCCGCTCTACGAGCAGCTGAAGAGCTGGGACGGCCTGGCAGCCCTGAACCTCATCGGTGCGAGACTGCGCCCAATGAGGTTGAAACGTTCCCCTGCCGCGAACAAGCTGCAGAAGTGGCTCTCGGGTGCCTAGGCCTTCGTCTGCTGAATCCGAGAAATCAGTGTTACTTGAATGCCACAGCCATCGCGCTTTGCTGCTGGCTTTCGCAGGCCTCTGCAGAGCACTTGCCGCCTGATCTGCTTTCACAGGCAATTGCCGACACGCTGAAGCTTCCTGCCAAAATCAAACACACCATCCGCACACTTGCTAGGTGGAGGCCACTGCTGGCTTCCTGGGAGAGGCCGAACCTCCAACATGACGTGCACGAACTCCTGCAACACTTGTTCGAGGTTGGGGCTCCCGGAAGCCGCTTGAGCGAGTGGCGTGCTTTTGTGATGGAAGGCGGGCGCAAGAGGGGTCGTGATTTAGGGCACTCCTTCATCACTATGCCCGTTGCAGGAGATCAGCCCTATAGGTCGCTGCAGGCTTGCGTACAGGCTTGGTCGCTGCAACAATGGGGTAAGCCACCGAACAGACAACCCTTGTACCTTGCTGTTGCGCATGGGGTCCGACATGTTGGGATTGTCTTGCAACGGTATGCAAACCTGCATGGTGTGATGACGAAGGCAGCACATGACATCAGCTTTGACTCTGAGTGCGAGCTGCCCCAGCTTGACAGCTCTGGCACCCTGCGGTGGAAGCGTTTCCACATCCGATGTTTCATTTTTCACATTGGCGACACTCCCAGCTCAGGCCATTATCGCACTGCAATTTTGCACGAAACATCATGGTGGTGTTCTGAGGATGGAGTGAAAGGGCGTAGAGCTACCAAACTTGACCGTAAGCAGATGCTGAGTGGTGGTTATGTTTTCATGCTCACCAGATTTGAGTAACGTTGTTGCGGTGTCTTTCTTGACTGTAGGCTGCCTGCTGGCACACGTGCCGGGGCGTAGTCATGCAGCTACCCGTAGCGATGACTTGGAGTGTGTCACGGTACACAGCTGTTGCAATGGGGAAGAACCCGTGTTGCAGTAGCCGAGCTCAAAGCTTGCTCCGTAGCTAGAGTGCGCCTGGTGGTTACCAAACTGCTCGCGTTCGCAAAGCAAAGCAAAAAGCACTCAGAAATAAAATCTCACAAAACCTTAAAAAAAATATGAGAGACTCTTCCCAGGGGTCCGGGTCCCCAACAGAGTCCCCCAGGAAACCAAAAAAACCAAACAAACCAAAAAAACCAAAAAAACCAAAAAAAACAATCCTGAGGGACTCTGTTGGGGACCCGGACCCCTGGGAAGAGTCTCTCAGGATTGGTTTTTTTGGTTTTTTTGGTTTGTTTGGTTTTTTTGGTTTTTGTGGGGATTTGTTTTGCGTATTATACCTTTTTGCACGGTTTTTCGTGTTTTTTTAGGTTTTTTGTTTGAAATTCTGCATTTTAAGTAAAAAAAAAGTGCACTCCCACAGCGTCCCATTTTCTTTCGAATTCCCTGCCAGTGTGAGAGAGTCCCCTGAACCCTAAACCCTAAACCCTAAACTAAACCCTAAACCCTAAACCCTAGCCGCTAGCCGCACTCAAAAGGTGAAGTGTTGCGGACTTCACCCCCGGCGCCCTTTGCCATGCGCCTGGTGGAGGAGGATCTGGAGGTCGATGTTGGGCCATTCTAGGGTTTAGGGTTGGGCCATTCTGGGGTTTCGGGCCTGGTTATCGCGGGTTTTTTGTTTTAGGGTTTTTGTTTTAGGGTTTAGGGTTTAGGGGCTTTGGATGATTAGAAGTGGGGGCTTGCATGTTAAGCATTTGTCGTGGTTTTTTTTGACGCGAATCGCAGCAGATGTCTGATGTGAAAGTTTCGCAAGCAGCCGGATTTTGCAGCCGGCAAAGTACTGCACTGTCGTTCTTCCGCGGCATGGGGCAGATGTCACACTCAAGTTGTTTGCAACCCTAAACCCTAAACCCTCAACCCTGGAAAGTCTTAGAGCTTCGGAAAGTGTGAGGGAGACATCTTGAGAGCGAGAGACGATACAGTCTTCTCTTTGGCGTGGGCCTCAGACCAGGCGCTATATACAAACAGAGTTTCGGTTACCCTTCCTCAACCCTAAACCCGAAACCCTAAACTGTAAAACCCGTCATAGGGTTAAACCCTGGCCCTAAACCCTAAAGTTTGGTCATAGATGTCCGTGCCGATTTCACTTCGCTAAGCGCTGTGCTCCAGAAGAACATTCAGATCGGCCTGGGATGTCCAGCGTTGCATAAAGGGTATTCAGGGTTTACGGCTTAGGGTTTTAGGGGCTGTTACAGGGGTTTACGGGTTTCCCACATTTAAGGCTTAGGGCTTTAGGGGCATCTGAGGCACAACAGCTGTTAATTTGAGGTAGAACTGGAAGAGAGGCAGGGGTGCCGGCAGTTTGTCTTATCGAGTACTATAACGGTCAAAATAATTACTAACATATATGGTCCCTATAATACTATATAACTATAGTCTCATGACCCCAGAACCCTTTTCGAACTACTAAGGCCCCTAGACTATTTGCGTATCTTCTTTCTTTCTCACATGGACCTCTTGATCTCTTTAATACCCTTGTCCGATGCTTTCCATCTGTCGCTTGGGTGCAGGTGAGCAATGTCCTTGTGCCGGCTGGGTGGCTGATGGTCTACGGCAGCCTGTCCTTTTAACACCCTAAACCCTAAACCCTGGGGAGGGAGGCAGGGAGAGAGAGAGAGAGAGAGAGAGAGAGAGAGAGGGAGGAGGAGGAGGAGGACAAGAAGAAGAAAAAAGAAGAAGATGCCGGGACGCCGGGCTCAAAAAGCCAAAGAGCCCTACCAGCCTCTCACCCCCTGTTGTACTGATTGTTTGAGCCTAGGGGAAGTCTGTTGTCAGCCTGGCAAGGCAGATTTTGTCGGGAAGGTATGAACAATTAGCGTAGACATGATTGAAGACAAAGTCGTAGGTCAGAACGATGTGACCAGTGGCTTCGGCTGTTTTTTTTTTTTTCTTTTGGGGTTGGGGGTTATAGTTTTACGGTTCAGGGTTCAGGGTTTAGGCCCCCTATTCTACCCTAAGACCCTCAACCCTAAACCCTGATCCCTATGAAGGACTGATAGTATAAGGGTGAACATTCCAAGTGGCATGTGTGCAGTGGACGTTGGCTGAAAGTTCGGCTAGCTGGAGACCCTCGAACATTGCCCGCTGTGAGCGTGTGGCGAGACTACCCAGAAGGACCCTCAACTAGCACATAGTAGTTCAGAGTGTATGATGCCAATACCACTACCAAGGGCAATACTGAGAATAATAGCAAGGCACCCCCAAACCCGCAACCGCAACCCTAAACCCTAAACCCTCAACCGTAAACCCTAAACCCTAAACCCTAAATACCCTAAATTTAGGAGCCTCCGGCTCAGGCCGCCGACCCAAGAGGCCCGAAACCTCTCAACCCTCAAACCCCTAACCCGAAACCCCACACCCTATACCCAGAACCCTAATCCCTCAAGAACCCTCACTCCAGGTTTTGAGCCTCTGTGGGTCCAATGCTCTTGTCTTTAGGGTAGCCTTAGGGCTTTGGGTTCGACCTTTGGGGCAGGTTTGGTTGGGCTGTAGGGTATAGGTTTGGGGTTTAGGGTTTATGAAACGACCATATCCGCTTTGGGGTGTCATGAGCCTCCTTAATTCTCGATCCCCAAAAACCGACCGCGAGACACGAGTCGAGTCGGTCAGTCTGGATGGGGCGGGCTGGTGTGGGGGTGGGGGGGGGCTGCGGGGGGGCTGCGGGGGGGCTGCGGGGGGGCTGCGGGGGGGCTGCGGGGGGCTGCGGGGTGCGGGCAAAAAGGGGGAGAGGGTAGAAGGGGGGGGGGGTGTGAGGGGTGGGGGGGGGGGGTGGGCCCCCCTGCGTTTTAAGGTTTTTGGGGGTGTAAGGGAGGGGAGGGGGAGGGCTCCCTCCCCCAAAACCATCCAACACGCTGCCGGACCCTAAACCCTAAACCCTAAACCCTAAACCCCACACCCCAAACCCCAAACCCCAAACCCTAAACCTTATAAACCCTAAACCCTAAACCCTAAACCCTAAACCCTAAACCCTAAACCCTAAACCCTAAACCCTAAACCCTAAACCCTAAACCCTAAACCCTAAACCCAAATCAAAGCTTACTTTAGGGAACCTTATAGCCGGAAGCCCGAAGCTCGCCTCGGGATTTGGTTTAGCAGATTAGGCCCAACCTGACTGCGGGATAGGGCGGCATACAAACTGCAACCAGAACTCACCGTTTAGGGTTTAGAGTTTAGGGTGTAGGGTGTAGGGTCTAGGTTTTACGGTTTAGGGTTTAGGGTTTCAGCCTACTTGGAGGTTCATGGGTAGTTAGAAGTTAGGCTATAAGTACGGCAACTATACTGATCGCCATTCTTGGGGTACTTATGGCCCTACTTACCACTACCCATGTACCTCCAAGTGGCCACAACGCCTGTGGAGAAAAGTTGTGCTCAGGCTTTGCCGGGACCCTTCTGTGCGACGACGAGCGCTACCCGCAACCGGAGGACCCTTGCTCAGAGTTGTGAAGTAGGTCAGGGTGATTAGGGTTGGGGGTGATGAGGGTCATTCGGGATGTTTAGGTCTCGGGCTCGTTGGGATGCAGAGGAGGGGGGGGTGGGGGTTGGGTAGGGGGGGGGTTCGGCGCCAGGGCTAACTTTAAAAAGGAGCAGTATATGCCCCCCATACCCCTTATGCATCCCATACTGCCCTTAATCAACCCTGAACACTAAACCCTAAACCCTAAACCCTTGTAGGCTACCCACCTAAGAACTCCCTTTCAAGTTGTCCTGGAACTTGTGGGCCGAAGACAGGAGTTCCAGTGGAACCGGACCTTTTCCGATGGCCAAGGCCGCTGTTTGGGGTTTAGGGTTTAGGGTTTAGGGTTTAGGGTTTAGGGTTTAGGGCTAGGCCCTCTGAAGCTTGAGTCGGTGCAGTGGGGTTTTCAGTGCATCTGGGCGAGCCCTCGGAAGTTCTAGGGGCCTTACTAACTAGAACAGGGTCTTTTTCCCACCTTCGGTGTGGGGCTGTTAGATTTTAAGCTCAACTCTTCTGCTCGCCCGGAACTCTTCTCCTCCCGGCCTACTCCTCCAAAATCCCTGGAGTGCCCAACTTCAGAGACTTTTTGGAGTGCTGAATTGCCCAAGTCAGAGAATCCTGGAGTGCCCCACCCCAGTCCAAGTGCCCAAATCCAGAGTCTCCCTGGAGTCAACCCCAGAGACTCCCGGAGTCTGCCTGGAGTGCTTAACCGCAGAGCCTCCCCGGAGCGCCCAACCCCAAGACTTGAGGAGACTCGCCCAACCAGAGATTCCTGAAGTTGCCCAATTTAGAGACTCCCTGGAGTGCCCCACCCCCAGAGTCTGCTGGAGTGCCCACCCCAAAGTCTCCAACCCCACACTCCCTGCACTGCCCAAAGAGACCTGCCCAACCCCACCCAGAAACTCCCTGGAGTGTCCCGGAGTGCCCAAACCCAGAGACTCCCTGGAGTGCCCAACCCCAGACACTTCCTGAACTGCCGGGGATGTTCGAAGTAAAATGTTATTATTATTATTATTATTATTATTATTATTATTATTATTATTATTATTATTATTATTATTATTATTATTGTATATTTTTTTTTTGGGGGGGGGGTATTTTAGTATAGATATATATGGACCCTGACGAATACTATTAGTAAGTGTTCCGACCCCTATGTTATAGGGGACTAGGGGTTGAGGGCTTTAGGGGTTTTGGGGGGTTTAGAGTGTTTAGGGGTTTGAGGGTGTTTTGGGGTTTTGGGTTTTGGGGGGTTTTAGAGGATTTAGGGTTGAATGTCTTTTTACAGCTGGGGTGTAGGGTTTAAGGGTTTCAGGGGTTTAGGGTGGATGCTTATAGGGTCTAGCCTGGCTGTGGCCAGTGGAATGACCTACCATCATGCAAGCATGTTCCTGCCAGCATGTTCAGCGAATCCTCGAGAAAGGCTTTCACAGTGCCAGGAGCGGTCAGGTCATGGCATCGTGGCCGCGTGTCATGTTCACTTGCCGCTGTCATGACCCCAAGCCCTACACAACCCACAACTACCCCGGGGGCTGTTTTAAGTTTTGCAAATCTTATTCGTTCAGGACGACCTTATCCAGGAAGATTGCTCCAGAGGGTGTGAAAGGAGCCGAGCATTGGCGACCCCAACTGAGGCCCCGAAACCCTGTCTCGTCGGCAATGCAATGCATTGCGAGTATGCGTTGTTTGCTGGATACGTGTGCATGCCCCAGCGTGCGACCTAGTCAGCTAGGCGAGTGACCAGCAAAACTAAGCCTAGTAGTGTTTTTTCAACCCTAAATGCACGAACAAAAAGTACTCAGAACAGAATCAAGCACTCAGGGGTGTAGGGTTTAGGGTTTAGGTTTAGGGTTTAGGGTTTAGGGTTAGGGAGACACCAGTGGCCTATGATGCCAAACCGAGATCCGCTCAGGAAGGCCCAAGGATGCAACCCCTAACCCCCAACCCCCCCCCCCCCCCCCCCCAGTAGCTTGTTTTTCAACCCTAAACCCTAAACCCTAAACCCTAAACCCTAAACCCTAAACCCTAAGCCCTAAGCCCTAAGCCCTAAGCCCTAAGTAGCATCTTTTCCCGTGGGTGGTGCCGGAGGCCAGAATCTGGATGAGGCGGCCTTCGGTGGCGGTCCGCGAATGTGCCCGGGCCGTTTTCTGGCTGCCAAGGCCGGGGCTTTGGGAGTTCAGGGGTTGGAGCTTCGGCTTTTGGTGCAGGGTTTGGGGTTTAGGGTTTAGGGTTTTGGGGTTTAGGGTTTTGTTTTGGGGTTTAGGGTTTAGGGTTTAGGGCCGTGAATCCAGGTGGATGCACCGAAGCCCGTTGCAAGAAGGGTTTTGAATATTGGGTTTGGGATTATGGCTTTTTGGGTGTAGTTTTCGTTTGTCGCTTTGGGTTCTCAAGTGCCAGCTTGATGTGCTAGCAGCCCCCCTAATATTTGCTTTGACCTGCTCGTCAATACCTTTCCGCACAAGATTGTTCGGTCGGCAAAGTGCGCATGAAGGCCCACAGCTGCACGCAGCAGGTACTCGTATAAAGAGTTGGGACTCGTGTGTACCCGCAAAGGCTCAAAGCCATGATTCTGGTAGTGGGTTTGGGTGGCGGTGGTTGGAACCTCCCCTGTGCATGCAGCATATGTGCCGCTTTGTTGCTCACTGGAGCCGGACACGATTGTAGAGTTACTGATGTGGACACCTGTGGTTGGGTCCTGATCTAGCCACCCTCCGCCCCCCTCAACCCTCAACCCTCAACCCTCAACCCTCAACCCTCAACCCTCAACCCTCAACCCTAAACCCTTCACGATCCTCAAGAGCGAGAACACATTCCTCCAACGCCAAAGAAATCCTTTGAAGGGCGAAACCCCCCGAGTCACAGGTCGCCAAGACCCTTCTGCGCGAAGCTTCTTCGGCAGAGAGCCCAATACTCTAGGAATGACTGCCATTTGTAATCGCTATCTTGCCCTTATAAGGAATCCACTTTTGGTTTTTTTCTTGGGGGGGGGGGGGGGATTCTTCAGCAATTACTAGATGAGTAGTACATCCAGGCTGCCAGTCGTCCACCGGGCCATCGGTGGACCATGATCCAAGCGGTGACAAACTCTCGGCCCGAGACCGAAAAACCCTTGCCTAC